CAATTCAATTTCAAACTTAAAAGACCGCGGAAATGAAATTTTAGAAACCTTACAAATTATATTGACAGATCCTGTTGAAACTGTGACTGACGAGGAAAAGAAACGACAAATTATGACAATCTACCATAACGACTCTATTAGCGGAGGACATTGCGGAGTCAAAAGGTTATATGCAAAGATCCGTACAAAATATTTTTGGAAAAATATGACTCGTGATATATCAAAATTCGTAAAAAATTCCGGAAAATGTTTACTTAACAAGGCAAAACCAAAAACCAAAGAAAATCTCGTTTTAACGCCAACACCTAACAAACCGTTTGAAATAGTTATAATTGATACAGTAGGACCCTTGCCCGAATCAAAAAGTGGTAACAAGTTCGCTGTTACTATGATTTGCGATCTGACAAAGTATCTGGTAACCGTTGCTGTTCCAGATAAAAGTGCCAAAACTATCGCTTCTGCTATTTTCGAAAGTTGTATACTAGTATACGGCATAATGAATTCTATCAGATCAGACTTAGGGACTGAATATAAAAACGAAATATTTTCGGAACTGACGAAACTTTTAAAAATTGATCATAACTTTTCGACAGCACACCATCATGAAACAGTGGGCACAATTGAACGAAACCATCGCGTTTTTAATGAGTACATACGTGCATATCTAAATGAGAATATTTCAGACTGGGACACTTATCTTAAGTACTTCACCTTCTTGCATAATACAACGCCAAATTCTGTTTTCGACAACAAATTTACTCCATTTGAACTAGTTTTCGGAAAAACACCGACTTTACCTCATGAATTGAAAAAAGAAAAAATTGATCCCATTTATAACATTGAAAATTATGCAAAAGAGGTTAAGTACCGGATGCAAAAATCGCATATTTTGGCAAAAGAGCTTATCACCAAACATAAGGTCCGGAATAAACAGTTGTACGATAGAGATGCACGTCCAATATCTATTAATAAAGACGACATGGTCTTGATTCAAAAGGAGCCCCGTGACAAACACGACAGCATATACCAAGGTCCTTACCTTGTAACCGAAATCGACGGTGTTAATATAACTATTTTCGACAAATCCAAAAACAAGTATAAAACGGTTCATAAAAACCGAATACAAAAAGTCACTAAATAAATATTTCACTTAATCAGTCATTTGCGAAAAATAATAACTATTTTTGAAGTCAATAATCACTTGATTTTTTTATTTTAATATAAGAAAAATTCACACATACATATTTAAAAGTTGTGTGTTGAAATTTTAGCCTTTCGCTATCACATATCTCGTAATAAATACCATATAAGTTACCCGTTTCAAAAACACTCGCGTTACTTCTAGTTTAAACCTGCAGGTTAAGCTACTATATTCTAGCAATAATTAAATAATCACATAGCGTTTAAATAATTAGACATTTGATAAAAAAAAAAAAAAAAAAATTAATTGATTTTCAATCATATAAACATTCCTTAATTATTATCAAAACACAAAAAAGGGGAGTCTTAATACGTCATTACTATATACAATTCCTACAAAATTATATATAAGAAAGTCTCACAATAAATATATAAAAATTAAATTGGTAAAAATAAAAATCCCTTATTCGACAGTACAAAAAGAAAACACTTGAATTCCTATTGTAATAATAATCTATTACAAATTCACTATATACTAGACTTACAATACGTAGTTATTTACTATACAGCATAAGATATTTTACTTAAGCAATATACTGCCACTACTTAATTACAAGAAATATGATTGTTCTAACTTATAGCACGCCTATACAATACTTTGCAAACAAAATAATTTATTAGTAAATAAATTAGTAATAAGAACTAATTACAATATGGTTTAATTTAACTTTGTAACGAAACTAAATTGTTATGAACGAACGAGTGAAGGAGGAAGAATATTCCGTATACATTTAGATTCGTTCCTTCAAAACAATTTAAATTCGATTTTATTATGGACAAGAAGAATGTGGCAAATCTGATCCATTTGCCAAATTCTTCTTTTTCCAAAGGAGGGTGATGTAAGGCGATTAAGGAATCCCAATTTAAACTCTACAAAATTACCTTACATGAAACCACCCTATAAACTTACGATATTAGAAATTTAATGCAACCCTACCTGAATGTAAATAATAGCAGCTAAGTTTAGGTGCTAAATGAAAAAATGAATTGGCGTCATTCGATCAGCGCCATTACAACGAAACGTACACGGTTCAGAGAAATAAATAAAATAATTGTAAAAAATTAAAAAGAAGTATTATTTCTTAAAGCGAATGTGGTTGTCGGGTGTGAATATTTGATTTAAAATAAAAACACATAACAGTGCCCTCAAATTTTTTGAAATTCCCGGCACAGTACCGGAGGTGTGCCGCCAGCAGACAGCAGGTAACAGGAGTGCAGCGGAGTAGCTGCAACAGGTCCGGGTAAGCTCACGCTTTTAGAGCCACCACTCTTTGTGAGAAACTGGAACCACAACAATAGTAATAGAGAATAATTTGAAATTATTTACATTTCTGTAATTAATTTCGGTCACTAGTATACAGTCATGTCATGTGCCACTCTGCCATAGCACGGTTGTGGCTACCTTTTATATCACAGTAATTTTGTATACAACTCTGAGGCCCCTATTATGAGTTACATTCGATCTTCGACTGTGGTCGAGAGTGCTGATCGAACGAATTTTCATTTGGTATTATGGCGCTCATTCGATGAAGAATAGCGCTATTGTGAACTTCGATCGTTTATGTTGTTCACAATAGCATATTTTTCACCGCTGAGAAGCTTTGTTTACAAATCGAGCAAACTAAATAGTGTGCTTATACATATTTATGTAAATTTGTGCAAATTAAAATGAAATAAAAAAGAAAGCAAGTTTATAAAAACGTGGTAAAAAATAGTACAACGAAGTTCTGGGGTTCAACGATTCGTCAGAGGATGAGAGTTTAGTGAACTGACCAGGAGTAGGGAATGTTTAAGAGAGTTTAAGTGTAGTCTTTACAATATATTTTAACATAAAATATATTTAAGAAATTTGTCTACAGATTTACTAAAAACTTCCGACTGTCTAAAGAGGCGTTTGTGAGCCAAATCTATTTAAAATATTTTAAAACTATCCACAGCTCTATGATTTGTTCTCGGAGATCGTGCCAACTGAGTATTGGGATTTTCCTTCACAAGTAAAAGCAGCCTTTCGAGCTTGTGTTTTGTATTCTCGACATTAAAACTGCATGAAATTGATAAAAAATTGTTTAAATTTAGTGTATACCCGCCAAAAAGTAAGAAAACAAATGCAAAATCATAAATTTTTCACAATTTTCTAACACTTCGCTACCCCATCGAAAGCAAAATTCTGTTCGACAGAAAATTCGATATTCAACGAAAATTTCGACACGGTTGCATAGCTCATAATATGATTTTCACTTTCGATCTTCGATAACCAGCGAAGATCGAAAATCGAATGCAACTCATAATAAGGGCCTGAATCAACAAATTTCATGCTCCTCATTATCAACCCTGATCAGATTTTACCCCCGAGGAGTACTCAAAAAGGTTTATTACTGTATATACTGTGACGACAATTGACGATTGACTGATGCTTCGCTAGTGCTTCGGCGAAGCAAATCAAATCAGTTGCTGTTGACAGTGTTCGCCCGCGAAAGTTTTTGAAGTGAAACTTCTTAATGGAGTTCGGAGATGTTTGCGTTAAATTAAGGCATTTTGATTTTGCTTCTGCTCTCTAAGGGTACGTTCACACAGAAAACGGAGCCGAGCCGAGCGAAGCCGTTCCGAGCAAAGTGAAGCTTTCAAATTGCTGTAGCTATATGAAAGTCTTCATACAAAAATCTTTTTCATAAGCGTTTGGTGCTGAAAGCAGCGCAGTTTTTGATCTTGAATTTTCTATTTAATTTTTCAGCTTCATGACGCTCCTGCAATTAAAATAGCAAAATATTCAAATAAAATCGAATTCTAAAACTATTCTTAATAAAATTGAGCAAATATGTTTGCCGCTTTTCATTGATGGTAAGTTTTGTGGTTTCTTTGCAGCCGAGTCCATGAGAAAAGCTCCGCTTCGCTTCGTTCAGTGTGAACACCAGCAGCTTCGCTTTTTTCTGCCTTACTTCGCTCGGCGCCATCCTTTGCAAGGCTCTGTAATCAGCGTTTGGGCTCCTGAGTTAGGCGAACGTACCAAAATCTGATCCTAAATCGCTTCTTTTGTATGAAAAAAGGTTTAACATGCAAATAGAATTTTACACTTTAAAATTTTCGTTAAAGGAAATTAAAAAGGTTTGACATTTTAGAGACCAAATAATTTGAAAAAAAAAGAGAAGAGCTGCTCTACTGCTATTACCTGATTAATTTTTGGCACCAAAATTGTGAATTCGCATAAAATAAATAGAAAGTTAGGGATGGAAGAATGAGCAAATTAAAAAAAGAAGTTTCAAAATATAGATAGATAGAAATGTAATTTAGCAAGAAATAGTGGAATCTCTTTTACAATTGTGGTATAGTCCGAGCACTGGCTGTTGAGGACGACATCGGTGCTTTGCACACAAGCGCATGTGTGTGGTAGTGTGAGTTTGCCAATTTATGATCTAAGCCAAAAAAGAAATTTTATTTTGCCCAGCGCTTCCTGTTTTATATGTACACTAGTTTGCCCTGCCCCGCTTCGCTAAGTGTATGATATTTCTGCGTGCAAAGTTAATGGTAATTCATTTCAATAAAACTCAACATCTTTAAACATAGCCAAAAATATTAGAGATTTTTTCCAAACTAAAGCCTCTTGCGTATGGCACCCATATTATGATATATATTTAAATTAACTAATTCCCCTAATTTAAGTTGAGTTTGGCTTTTTAAACAGGTGGCAACTCATACTTGTAGTTTGGAAATGAGCCCTTTTCCAAAGCATACGTATTAAGGCCCCGCCAGATAGAAATTCTTTTCTGCGTCACAGGGATGCTTTTGACTGACATCCAAGTTAACTCTGTGATTTTGAATACAATGCGCCACAGTGGCAACGCATGCATTGCCGCAACGGATGAAATTCGCCCAACTCTCAACTTTTGCCGCAAGCAAGTCCGGCAGTACTGTCAGCTGTCAAATATGGCAATTGATCCAAATTGACTTGGTCTCGCGCACTTCTTATTAAATTCCCGCGGTTTATTTATAAATTTATAAATCTAATTGTTTGTACGATGGAATTTTTACTTATAGAGGCAGTGCAAATGCATCCGTGTTTGTTCGACAAAGGGGACTTTTCATATCGAAGTAAGCTGGCAAAAGAGAAGGCCTGGAAAAGCGTAGCGGCTGCCACAAATGCGAATGGTAAGTTAAATGTTAATAATATTGTTATTTATGGCAATAAGATGCTAGTGTTTTCTTATAAACATTCTCAATTGTAGTTCAGCTGTGCCAGAATAGGTGGAGGTCCCTTCGCGACCGATATCTTAAAGAGGTGAAAGCTGGGAAGCTGCCATCGGGAAGTGCTGCACCAGAAGGAAGTGGTTGGAGGTTTTTTGAGCCCATGTCGATCCTGCAGCGCTACGTTGCCCCTCGCAGGTTAGTTCAACATTGTTATCCTAAATAAAGCATCAGCGTCTCACTTTTAGAAGAGGATTCCATAGCCGGTGCGAGATAAGCTGTACACAACCTTGTAATCCTAAATGTAAAAGTACAAAGCGCCCGTATTGGCCAATATGCACAACTATGTACAAATAACTAAACCTTACCCCACTAATTAAGTACATATATCCATATTTTAGAACTATTTCCAACATCGAGTGGTTAAGCGAAGACCCTATCTATAGTGAATCCGGACATTGTTTCGATATAGAATCAGATGGCAACATGCCATTCATGAATGATCCCAGCGAGATCGTAACACCTAACGAAGTTTGGGATTGTATCGAGTGCGAGGCAGCCCCGCCGACAGCCCCGCCGGCAGTACCGCCGGCAGCACCACCAACAACACCTCTGACAGCACCACCGATAGCAAGTAAAACTTCGAAACGTACTGAAAAGCGCCAAAAGGACGAAGATTGCTTTGACTGTCTTTGTGGGGCTGTATCCGATTGGATACAGAAAGAATCGAAACCCATCTCACGAAATACGGACTTTTTTAAAGTTTTAGATGGTTATTTAATGAAGTATACAGATGACGAGCAGGATGAAATAAAAATAAAATTATTAAGCTTTGTAAGCAGCTACCGGTATGAGAACACCGTCTAGTGCACTATTGTTAACGTTTTTTAAAACAACTTTTTTGGTGAAATTTTGCACACTGTGCACCTATAAATGAGAAAGTGGTTATTAGCTGTTGTGATCAAAAAACGTTTGTAATGTAAAAATCAAGTGGTTATGAATAACTAAGTTTTGTGTAGCTTTTTGGCTTTGATTTTGACTACGCAAAAGCCTTTGGACCTTATGAATAAAAACTAAGCAATTGCTTCTTAAAATTGCAGACCTTTTACTCGATGTATTCAAATAAATTTAAGTAAACGGTCTGAAATTTTAAGAAGAAGCAATTGCTTAGTTTTTATTCATAAGGCCCATTATCATATCGTCGCCTGGGTAAAAGATTGTCGTAAACGTCATACGTATTTGCGTAACATACGACAATCTTTTACCCAGGCGACGATATGATCTTTAAGTTATGTGTAGCGATGCATTAAATCACAATGTTTATTAACTTTTGTAATTTAAGATGTTTGAGTATAACATGTTTGTTTATATTTCTATATCACAGCAGCTAATAATAACTTTCTAATTTACAGGCGCACCGTTTGGAAAATTTACTTTGTAAAAGATCTCTATAAATATAAATTATATATATTTATACTATCTGTTTAAAACAAATTGTTACTTTGTAAAAGTAAATACATTTTTTAATTGAAATGTTGCCTTATTGTTTTAAGCAAATTACTACTTTGTAAAATTAAATGAATTTTTGTATTGAAATGTTTACTTATTGTTTTAAACAAATTACTACTTTGTAAAAGTAAATGAATTTTTGTATTAAAATGTTAACTTATTGTTTTAAATAAATACTACTTTGTAAAATGTTATTTTTTTATAACAAATTGCTACTTTAAAAATGTACCTTATAAGAAATGGTTACTTTGCAAACGACTAGACTAGTACCTCGTCAATAAAGGTATTTCGCTAATAACACCGCTATTTTTTAATATATTTATGTGCGCAAAACAATGTGAGGACTCGTAATTCGATGGAATGCATCATAATCAATCACAGAGTGAATTTTGGAGTTATGGTTTGGTTTGGTTTTGGTGGACTGAAAAAAATTTTTATTTAGTGGATTATTCCATGGAAGTACATGTAACAAGTACGGAGATGGTTGGTACGTGTGGATCACCATTAAAGTTTTATTGAGGCAAAGTTTCAGGCGTTCAAAGTGAGAACAGAAACTTCAAGGTTATTTGAAAATCGTTTATCAATAAAAGATAATTTTATTGGGAATATACATACATACATATTAATTCTGAATTCATGAAGTTGCTGATTATCTAACTAAAATCATATATTTAAATCCAAATGATTATAATGAACTATATTTTATAAAAAAGTAATGAATATTTGTCAAATGAAAGAAAAATAGTTAAGACTGATATAAACTATGGAACTACATACATAACTATAAAACTAGGGAATTTTAATTGAAAAATCTTAAAAATTAATAAATAAACATACAGTCAGTATACCGGCAACCATTTTTTTAATATTATATTTTTCGCTAATTTTGTATAAAGAAATAGTTAATTCTACAACGAAAACGCCAATAATCAGAGTTCCAAAACTTGCGCAAAATTAAATAAAATTCCGCAAAGTTTCATTCAAATATTGCACTTTTTATTTACGCTCTTTAGAAAAAAGCTGAGTATGCAGTTTTTTAGCCCATTCAATTTTAGTAAAATAAAGTGCACGTATGAGGAAGCTAGGACTTACCATTGATTTTTAGCATTTTTTTTGTTGAAGGTGTCGCTCATTTTCTCCATATAAAATAATGTCCGATAATTTTTTTTATATGGAAAAATTGAATGGGCTAAAAAACTGCATACTCGAGTTTTTTCTAAAGAGCGTAAATAAAAAGTGCAATATTTGAATGAAATTTTGCGGAATTTTATTTAATTTGCACAAGGTTTGAACTATGGTTTTTGGGGTTTTTGTTGTAGAATCAACCATATTTTTATACAAAATTAGCGAAAAATAAAATATTTAAAAAATAGTTGCCCGTATTTTAAAAATTTCGCTGCACCTAAACTTTCTTGACTGACTGTAAGTGAACTTGGTTCAAATGACAAACCTGGATAAGGTCTCATCAAAAATGGCTTTAATGGGAATGCGGCATCTCCAACAAAATAGTGTGGGAAACTTTTGTTGGTTCCGGGCAAAACTTCTGGCTTTGGAAGATCCAATTGCTCCTTATACAAAAGTTCACCGAAGATCGAGTTCCACATAACGCCACCATCACTTTGGGAACCGTATGCACCAATGTCCACAGCCGTGAAAGTATAATTGGCGTCACAGGCTGCCAGAAGAATTATCGAAAAGTTTCCCTTGTAATTGTAGAACAAAGAACCAGACTTTGGCGGGCAAGTAATATTTACGTGCTTGCCGTCAATGGCCTCTACACAATTAGGCAAATCCCACATTGCGTCAAAATCAATGGCGATTCGTCTCCATTCGTTCTCATCCGGGATCGATAAATATATCGGTCCTAAAACTTCCCAAAGTACCTCGCACGTTTCCGAAACAATTTCTTTCGTTGTCGAGAGTCCAATTTTGAACGCAGAAGAATATAGCTGCTTGCTTCCGCCATGAGCCAAATACCTTTAATATAGTTAGAGCGTTTCCAGAAAATAATCACAATAATTTTGAACGTAATAAATTTTGAACATACTACATGTGAATATATGTGCATGTTTATGAACTTACGCAAGGGTCGGGTAGAGTCGACATTCGGCAGAAATATAAGGCCTGTTGGAGTGCTTCGTTAAGCGCTCCTTGATTAAATTAAGGAGCAAGTCAAAAATATTTTTCTCCATCCTCATTGTCCTTTTAAATTCCTCCGGAAAGCAAAAATTGTTTGCGAAAAATCCATGAGTGTTGCGATTTCTCAACACCGGTCGTACCCAATATTTTCGACGGCCATATAATGCCTTAAGGCATTCACCGGCTTTGACCAACAGAAGGACCATAACGATCGCTTTTACAATTTTTGAGCTCTCCATTTTATATTTAATAAATATTACTTTCAATTTAAGAATAACACAACGCTATACAAACAGCTGATTTTCTTATGTGCGTCAAGGTGTTTATCTGGCGCCTTTTTTTGTCTGATACGGCAACGCAATCAAATGCGTTGACGCGAAATGTTTATCTGGCGGAGCCTTTAATACTCTGATATTATAAATCCGAAAGTGAGTTTGTTTGTTACGCTTTCACGCGTTAACTACTCAACCGATCGTCATGCAATTTTTGATGTGTATACATCTTTGGTTTCGGTAGGGGTAAAATTTGCGAAGCTGTAACGCATACCCCAGCACAAAATTTCGAAGGGCTTAGCATGTGTATTTCAGCCAGAGCTGTAAAACTGTGAAATCATATGAAATTAAAAATCATCAATTTTATGTTATTATGTTTTCATTGAATTTTTCCTTGTTGGGGAATGTGGCTTATAATTTTCCAATTCTACATTCACTCAAAGTAGATACGATTGCACACATTAACATATTCAAAGAAAGATTGAAAAAACTGAATGACGAAACATTAACTTTTAACACTGAATAAGCATTCAGATGAATGCAGCTTTTGCTATGTGTGCACACATTCATTCAGTACCAATCAATCGATATAAATATTCTAAATACACAAAACCCACTGAAAAATACGCAAGGTTGAATTTTATTGAA